GTATTTAGCTAAAATCCCACTTTTTATGTTTAATACGGTATTTACAGCAATTTTAAGTACTTATAGAACTTGAAAAGTATACAGATAACAATTTGTATCCTTATATATTATTATATTGCATTATTAAAAGCCTATATCTTATCATTAAGAGATTAACAACATTTAAAGAAGCTCAGCAGTTCTAGCTTTCCGAGCAGCTGATGAAAGACTCATCGTCCAACCTGTAGTTTTAGCCTCGTCCTCAGCATGCGCCCTGTCTGTTTTCTCTTTCTGTTTCTTTCTAGACATTGTCCTGAAGTCGAAACACGGTTAAAAGTCAGGACAAGTGAGCTAACGCCGCTCTTGGTGCTAACGTTAGCGACAATAAGCTAAAACCAACCTCTGGGCGTCACTGGCGTTACTATGGCAACTCAGTCCAACCTGCGGGGTTCTCGCGAGACTTCTGGTTGGGGAGATTTCCTTTCGCTCTTGGTATATTTTAAAAAGTTGTTAGTAGAGATTTTTTGGGAAATATTAAATTAGTTTATGCGCCATTTACGTTAATTAGCAGTGCTAAGAACATTAATATTCAATTTATGTCTAGCTGCTGTAATATCGCGAGATTTGAAATTACCTTTAGGTGTCAAACATGAGAAAGTACAGATTCCCCACAAAACTGTTCCTTTCAGCCTAGAGACTATCACTCCAAGGATTGGTATTTTAAATTCAAGCTGGTTGTAGATTGTGTTCTGAATGTTCAGTCGAGTATCCCCACTGTCTGCACCTTGTGAAAAGTAGCTCTAGCACAGGGAAATTATTTTTCCAAAGCTCAAACTGGAGCAGGAGCAGCCATGAGAGCTGGGTGCCTGTGGAGGTTTTACTCATTCATCACAGTGGAAATCAGGCTTTCATTTCAAATAACACAGTGCTGAACTTTCAGTAGAGCAGACACAGTAGCAATCACCGCCACGCAATATGAAAAGATAGGAATATAACTTCTCTGCTTCAACATCTTCCTTCCAGTGGGTTTGCACTGGTGCAGAGCTTATTATCCATTCAGCATCAAACAAATTGTCTCGTACGCACCATCTATTTTGTGAGTGTCTCAAAAGATATTTGTGCTGCAACATATTAAATACAGAGAAATTGATTTTGGGTGCATTACACTGGGAAATGTGATAATTCTGCTTTCCACAGCACCAATTCTTTCAGCAGTAGCAGCTAAAGTGAAAAGTATATGGCAATATATTTGTTTCACTGTGCAGAGATCATTGTCTCTGGGCAAACCAAAATGTCACATTTTCAACATTTTAAAGAAGATATAAACATATAGTCATAATTCTATTAGACCTTAATTTAATATGATCAAAGGTAGGAAGTAACAAAGTACTTTGTTACTGTACTTAAGTAGTTTTGATTTTTCTGACTACATATTCTTTTCTCAGGCTCGTCACTTAATATTAGAATTTTTTGCATCATTGCACGCCTTCCTAACATCTAGACATCTGCATATCACGCATGACAGACGTAACATGACGAAAACAGACAAGAGACGAGGACTCTACCCTGTTTGAACTTTCAGTTTGCTTTGCATAGAAACAGCTAATAGAAACGTCTTTCAGAGAAACCAAGAAAGTACTTCTCACTTTTATACTTACATTTCAAAGCCTGTACTTTTATACTTTTACTTGAGTAAAACAAGTTGAATCAGTGCCTCTACTTATACCTGAGTATCTGCATTTTTGTCAACTTTGTATAAGATATGAATGAAGTTTAACTTAAACCACACCAGTGACAAACGAACGCCAACCACCGACAGTATGGTCAACAAGTTTGTTGTTCTTTTTCCACCAACACGCAAGTTTTTGTGAAGTATCTGAAGGAAATTAAAAGCATAAAAACATTAAGTGTATTCACAATAATGTAGTGCTTTTTATTAAAAAAACAAACAAACAAAAAAAACAAATATAAAACAAAAAAGTAAAAACCAACAGCATTTTTCATGACTTAAGAATCATAATTACAAACTTTTAACGAGTGGAAGAAGTTTTTTGACAAACTGTACACATCACAAAATGTCCGCCAGTCTGCCATTTACAATGCTTGCATCTTATTTTGTGATTGTCTAAAAATAACTAAACGAATCACACAAAACACACAAATACAAGTACAAGCATCATACAATGACTGCTATCACAAAACGGAACCATTTCCTATTTGAAAGAAAAAACAAAAATAATAACATGATATTGGGCTGACAGCTTTACTTTTGTTTCTGTCACGGTTTAAAAATATCATAACATTTTTATGTTGGTTTGTTTTTTTAGTGTTCAACACTTTGCAGCAAAAAACAAGGAGTACATTTCTCCTTAAAAGTAATATTATTAACAATATTCAGTGACAAAGGTGTCGTTGTCGTTGTCGAGTCACTGTCATGTCCCAATGCCTTCTGTGTCCGTTTGACATTCTTCTCACTCATGCAGTACATAGATGAATTTCATTTATAGGCAACGAAAAACCTCAGCTTAAGTTTTTACGTCATCGGGACAGTTAAGGTGAGATTTTATGGACATTAAAAAAATCATTTTCCTCCGAGCTTAAGTGTCTTCATTATAGTAATACAAACGGAAGAAATTATAATATTATCATTATTATAATAATCATAATACATTTAGGGCTGAGTCCTGTACAGTACAATAATAAACAAAATCCATTTTTCAAGATATTGCTTTTGGAGACACTCCTCAATGTAAAGTGTGTATATTTACATAACTTGGCACTGTACAGCTTCCCGTTCCCTCTCTCTCTCCCTCCCTCCCTCCGTCAGTGTCTCATTCTCCTCACTTTTTCTGTCAGTTAACCGCACTGGGACATTGCAGGCTGTCCCTTTTTAGCAGAGGCATTTGGGGGAAAAAAAAAACAAAAACAAGGAAAAGAGAAAGAAATCTCATCAAATATCACAATTTCTTTTTAAAACATTCTCCATGGCAACCAGGAACATAGTCTAAAGACAAAAAAAGATCTTAAGTCCCTTCCCCTCCCCAATATACAGTATACACCGCCCCACCCGTCTCACAGAATATAAGAAAATATGACCATCACGATACATTTCATGTTAAGTATTGTTTTCCATAGTTTTCTTAAAACTGTTAATTGCCATCGAGCCCTTAATTTTTTTTTCAAATTTTTTTTTTAAAAAGGTATATCTTCAAGAAATCTGGCAGAGTACAGACACACAATAAGTGTGCACGCACGCACACACTCGCACACAAGGCAGTCGGAGAGCACGGCTGTGTAAGGCGTTACAGTTAAAGCCAGTGTCCCCCCGCTCGCCTGATTTAGTTAAGCTGGTGAATCAATGTTACTTCAAAAAAGAGGGGCGAAGCTGACTGCCTCACGAGAAAATAAAAAAACTTAAAATTAAAACCTCAACAAGACACTTTGACTGACAAAAGCGCACACTCGATCCTCCCTCCCCGCCCTTTACTCTAAAAACAAACACACCCCAAGCCTCCTCTGTTCCTAAATGAGTTACTACAGTATAACAGGAAAAGGATAATAGACTTTTTAACTTGCTTTTTTTTTTTTTTTTTTCAGACTGCATCATCCAATACTGTGAGAGTGTTAGTGTGTTTTCATTATAGATACATTACACAGAGCTTCACAATATCCATGGTACCAAAAGTGCAGTTCACCACCCTCGCTCTCTCTTTCGCATGAGCAGCATCTGAGCACACTGCTCAACTTACATTTCTCCTATGCCATTTTCCCCCCACGGTTCTCGGCGCAGCTCTTCTCTCGTCTGATATATTTTGTCATTGCAGCTAGGTCCCACTAGGGGGAACAATTCTCCAGCATTCACATCCCCATTGACTGAAACCAACCATCCCTCCCCTCTATCCATCCATATTCAGTACCATCATTTCTGATGCTTGCTAGTGGAATTCATCTACCCATGTCTGTAATATTCAATGCATTTAAGTGCATGGGGTATTTCTCCTATGTTCATTTTAAAAAAAACAGATTTTGCATCATACTACTTAAATAAGCAAGAAGTCTGGGTCAGCTCTCTCTTCGTGCTCCTTGAGAACTCTTGAAAAGCTGAAATTGTCATGGAGTCAGCGCTCCCAAACCCCCTCCACGGTCTCAGAGTTGAGATGACAGTCTTGGAAGAGGTAAACCGCAAGAGGACCCCAGGGATGCATTGCAGTCCTTAATGGTCGGACAACCAACAATGCTCATTTCCCTTCTTGCTGTCTCTCCATTTTCTGCCCCTTGCTCGCAAAAGAAAAAGGCAGTGTGCTTGACAGGCACGTAGCGACGTTATTTTCTGCCCACAAAGTCGCCGAACCCGAGCGTCCGTCGCCGTAGTCGCCGCCCTGCGCCCTCCTCCAGGAGGTAAGTGACATCTATGGCTGTTGGAAGAGCACAAAGAGAATTAGACAGAAACCAATGGCACACTGTATTATATCAAAGAAACAGCAAAGGTAAATGAATGAAAAAATGTGTCTTCTGTTACTGATGTTTAAAAGGCTTAAAAGTGTTCAGTAAGTGTGACCGAGTTGGCAACCTCCAGTGTCCAAAAATGTCTGTAGCTCTCTCAAATCGGGCAGGGTGGGCGGGAAAGTTTTGGTATGCTCTATTTTATTCTTGTTCTTAGTACTATTCCACAAATGCAAAGTCAAACTTGATGTGTGTCTCTCCCATGCTTTATCAGTAAATGCTTCGTCAGCGCCTTCTGCAGCTGCTTAATACCTGAAGACTGGGCCCAGTGGAGCCTTTTGAAAAGGTGATACTGTGAAGCAGCAGCAGTATAAGGCTGGTGATGTTCTACATTTTTTGTTATCGTCAACAAATCCAATGACAAGACTAAAATCAACAATGTCTTAGTCTCAATACTTAATGACTTTCCTACCCATCTGTGGCACAGTGTGGCTCATTTATGTGTTTTTAATAGTTAGGGTTAGGGTTAGCTATTTCACTTTGGCTACACAGGCAGGAGGGTCAATTCATTGAAAAATACAGCCTATCACCAGACTTATCCTTTAAACATTGAGATTAACCACTGTTAGTCTAGATTTAGATTTGGATTTATTAGTAATATTGTCAGCAAACCAAAGCAATGCCACAACAAACTGAAACACTGCCTGGGAGGAAGAGACAAAGCAGCAGATCTAAAAACTGAGGTTCCCATCTGTTAATGAATGCTAAAAAGAGTTTAAATATGAAAATCTGCCCACTCCTTTATAAAAATACATGTCTTTGTTCCTTGATGGCACATTATAAAAGGCGATTGTATCTGTGTTGTATAATCCTGCAAAATAAAAATGCTTCCTTTTCATCCCCTACTCTATCTAATGGACAATTTGTAACAGTATAAAAATGTGTTATTTAACATGTGGTGTGTGACTG